ATTTTCATGCACTGGGCCTCTAGTATTACATAAAGACATTTGAACCAGCACATTCCCTCTGGGGAGCACAACCACCACGCCATCCCCTTCCCTCTCCCTCTCTCCTTCCCCCACCGGCATGCATCTCCTAAACTCTAAGGGACCCTACAAGACTTGCAAACAGGGAACCAAGGGGCAGCAGCAGCTCGTCCCAGACTAACCCCCTGAACCTGTCTCCAAGGCCCCTTTTCTCTGACCTCCCAGTGAGCCAGAGCAGCCCAGCCTAGGCTCCCCTGTTGCTTCTTCTATGCCCTTCCTTGTTTTACTGTTTTTGCTGTTGTCAATAAACTCTTGCTTGCTTTTCTAAGTAAATAAATAAATACGGGTAGGGGTGGTCCTGAATATAGTTAATCGTCGTTTAGAGAGCAAGCGCTAAAAGTAAGTGTTGGTATTAATTTCACTTTTACCTTTTATGACAGGTTTCAGGGGCTCTGTTTTGTGTTATCATGACATTGGAAAAATATTTGATGGCTTGTCAGAAGGGAACATTTATAATTGGTACTAACCTGTACATTTTCAGCCTCTAGAATAATATGACAGGTAATTGAGGTTGAAATTGTTAGCTTTTACCACTTAAAAATAAGTTCAACAAATGCCAGTATTCACTGTATGAGTTAAACTAATTGGGGTTTTGTAATCACTTCTAGTTAACATGAAACTTGATGAGAAAAACTTTGTAGTGGAAATTATTAAAAATTGGTTTGCTATAACATGTTTTTGTAATATTGGTGTAAGATGTCATTCTGTGGCATGATGACCTGAGGATATGGTGATAGCCTCAAATGTCTCTACAGAGTCTGCAGGTGGGGATCCCTCCTCCTGGCACCCTGTTTCTGTCTTGTTACTGTCACACCCAGGTGTCCTTGAGACACGCTTGCTTCTTATCTCGCACAAAGGTCACTAGTCGGCCCTCTGAACCCCTACTAAGATCTTCTGCGGTATTGAAGACATGTTTTAAAATTGGTATAGTGCCATTAACCTAAGTGGTTTACATTCCCTACAATCTCTTCGGTTTGGGCAGCAGTGGGATGTTTTGAAAGTAGGTCTCACCAACACGTTCCACTGATGGATGAAACCCTCGGTTAAGCCCATTCCTTTTGACCATGTGCTGTTCTAGACTTGATCCCTATTTTATTTTAAAAATTCTTTTATTCTAGTCATCCTTGATGTCCACCAGAAATAAGGGCCTTGTGTGTACTTTAATCCTGAGGTTGCTCCATCTTTGGCGGTTTTAGAAATTGTTTTTCAATGCAATGGGAAGACTCGTTTAAGGTACAGGTGAGGCTGCCTCAGGCCTCGGGGATTCAGCAAAACTATTGCACTGGAGGGAAGAAGTAGAGTCCAAACCGGACGTGGTGTTAACGATATCATAGCAAATGGCATTTTCACAGAACTCCCCACCCGAGTCTCGGCAAACTGTGCTCTCAGCCTCGACAGTGGAGAGCCACCATCTCAGTAAGATTCTCCTTCGCTGTTGTGGCCCAACGTGGCCGGTGCCTCTTCTGGTGTTTGGACAAAGCTGAGACATTTGATCAGTTCAGAATTCTTAACGTCTCCACAGAAAAACAGCATGGGCGTGCAGCTGTTATGTGGATTTTTGTTGCAGTGCACTGAGGTTAACGATGGTTGAATGGCCTTTTAATGGTATCAGGTTATGACCGGAGCTCTGAGTGAGGTGATCTCCTTCTGGCAGTTGCATCCCATCTCCATTTCTTTCCCAGCATCAGCACCAGTAGCAGGAGGAGAGGGGACAAGTAGCAATTAGGTAGACAGGCAATTTATGGTCAGTAGTCAACACACTTCTTGCTTTAATTTTTTATTGTAGAGTTAACTGATAATTACACTGGTTTTGTAATTATAAATAAACTGGCCAAATTGGGGCTGGAATGCTCCCTAACTCTTTGGACAGCCAAGCTGCCTTCCTTTTCTGAGCCTTCTGCAGGCTGCTGCTTTTGTTAAGATCTATAGCATTGCCTGCCCATTGTGGTTTAGTGGTTGAGTGTCAACCTTTGAACCAGGAGGTCATGTTTTGATCCCTGGTTAGGGCACATACCCAGGTTGCAGGCTCAATCCCCAGAAGGGGGCGTGCAGGAGTCAGGTAATCAGTGATTCTCTCTCATCATTGATGTTTTTTTCATCTCTCTCCCTCTCCCGTCCTCTCTAAAATCAATAAAAATATATTTTTAAAAATATATACAACTTTAAAATTAATAATATGTAAATAAAGATTTTAATTGCACTCTAAAATATATATATATATATATATGTATATATATATACACATACATACAGCATTTATTGGCACCTCCTAGCCTTGTGCTAGATGAGGTATATCCATGGTGGGTTATAGCAAATGTAGCTAAGAAAACAAATGAGAATCTCATCATAAGGATTGGGCTTATCTCATGCTTCCTGCACACCAGCAGTAACTTTGATTTTCCATTATCCTTCATGCATCGTTTAGAGGAGACAGATAGCTTTCTAGTTAATTACATTTTTAAAATTACCTAAAAGGAAATCCTAAGCCTGGAGCAAATCATGTCACTAACTCTCATTTATATTTACCTGCTGCTGCTTTTTAAATGCAAGAAGAGACGTTTTCCAAGTACATTTGAGAAGTGGTTTCCATAAATGATAAAAGTCCACGGCAAACTAGTAAAGAGTATAAATAAGAGTCCAGATTCAGAGTGAGAGGTCTGGCCTCAGGGTGGCTGTGGGACCGGGCTTGCCAGGTTTTAGGCATTTCTGAATGTGGTAGGTGCCACTGCCTGTTTTGATAAGAGGGTTATAGAAGTCCTCGAGTCTGGTCTGAGCCTAGGGCCAGGGCAGTGGCTATGGCGCATGCACTCTACAGCAAGACCTAGTGCAAACAACTTGTCAGACACCCCATGGGCCAGGTCATGACCCCTGAACTGAGTTACACCTTCCCATGTGCCTCCCAGAGCCTGAAGAAGCACCTGTGAGAATTTCTCTGAGTGAATTTCATCTAAGTCTATTTTAAGTCAGATCTCTGCTGTGTAGTAGATGGAGAGGGGAAGAAGCATTGTGGGTCTACAATTTAACCAGTAACTAATCCATGAACTTGGATTCTGAAGCAATGTACTTACTAGATTGAAATGAG